GTGCGCGCGCGTGCGCCGAACGCGCGTTGTGCGCACGTGTGATGCACGCATGCGTTGTGTACCGGACTGTTGTGTTGTGTACACGCGTATGTGTACACGCGCTGTGTACACGCGCTGTGTACACGCGCTGTGTACACGCGCTGTGTACACGCGCTGTGTACACGCGCTGTGTACACGCGCTGTGTACACGCGCTGTGTACACGCGCTGCCGCTCATCTCCTAGACCCCCACGGGTGACCTCGGAGCGCGCTTCTCATCCCTGACGACGGCGCCACCCGGACTCACCTCGACTTCATCACCCCCCCCGCCCCCCCCCCCCCCCCCCAAGCGGAGAGGGGGGCCGGGTGACTCGCACTTAAAGTCTCGGCTCAACTACTGAGCAATTAAATGTTTGCACCAAGCAACCCTCTGCCAATCCACTGCTGGATGAAGCCCCCCCCACCACCATGCCCTGTTGGTCGTGGCAGTAGTTTTTTTTTTATTTACCATACATTGTTTATTGATAATGTAATCGCAATGCTACGAAGGGGCGTTGCGCGAAACGTCGACTATTATTATATATATTTTAGGATTGTGTTATTGACGAATGCGTTCGTAACGCCGTTACCAATAATTAATAGTGATGGGAAATAAATACGACATAAATGCGCGCGCACACGTGCAACTCGTTCAGCGAATCAGGCTCCAGTTTGATTGACAAGAGGGACATAATGCATTGCAGACGTCTGCAGATGCACGCGTGTGTCAGTGTGTGTGTGTGCGCGCGCGAGTCATAATACAGTCATAACGTCTACCGCGCCGCAACATGATGAAAAGCCACGTGTATATGCTTGCATGATGCGTCCTCTGTGTACGTATGAATTACGTGCGCGCGGGGGGCGTGCGTTTTGCGAGTGTGGCGTGGGGGTGTCAAAACATCAACACCGGGGAAACAAAGACGGCCGGGCGTGCTGCTATCAACCCCCCCCCCCCCCCCATCGTACACCGTGCTGGCTTTGTAAATGTGTTCGCTTAACAGCACTGACACCCCCAACAGTCTGTTCAAGGCTACGCGGGGGATCTTTTGTCTGTCTGTGTGTATATGTGTTGCTGTTCGCGCGCGCCAGTGACAAAATCCCCCTGTCGCAGCAAGCAACAGCAGCAGCGGTTCACCGTCGCTGTACGTTGACAACTTTGTGCGCTAACGCCGTACTAACACCACGCCGATTGTTCAAAGCGTTCGTTGTCCGGGATTCGCGCGTAAGGAAAAACACAACGGCAAAAAACACAAACGCAGTTAATGTATTTGCAGCTCCGCAACCTTTCGTTGTGGTTATTGAAAAAAAAGACATTAAAAAAAAACATAATAATGAGGAATCAAGAATTCCACTTCGTGGCAGCTACACATGGGGTTTTATTTGAGCGGACGATATCATTACACTTACAAAAAAAACCATACAAACTACCGCCAATACATGCGCATTGTAACCTCAATTTAAACGATTTATATACTTTTTTTGTTTTTTTTTTACTTACAACGCGTTGTTAATATTTTTTCGTCTACAAATTACAAAAAAATGATGTTACTGACTTTATTCCCAGCAAAAAAGTTTTCCTTTAAATTACACACCTCTTGTTAACTTCATTACATCAAACCTCACTGTCCCACACACACAAAGATCCCTCCCACCTCGTATCGCCTTAACAGACGTTTTTTGCGGCAAGTGCTGTGAGCGAGCAGCACCTGAAGGCCGGCACGGCACACGAACGCGGGTAGTGTGGCAAAAACCACGCCCGACCGCATTTGTCTCCCTCGTGGCGACGTTTGCACACCGCACCAGCTACTAGGGGAAGCCCAGGACCGGTTCAGCAGACAATCGTCACTGGGTGTTGGTGGCCGTGAGCGGGAATCCAACTCGGGTCGCCAGGTTCGTAGCGCAGCGCGCTCACCCCTGCACCACCGCTAACTCACAACATACAAAGAACTCCCATATAGCCTTTAACAGACTGTTGGGGGAGGTGTTGTGAGCAAGCACCTATGAAGGCCGGAACGGCACACGAGAGGGGGTGGGGGGGGGGGGGTGTAGTCAGCACCACGCCTCGGCATTCTTGTCTCCCCAAGTGGCGATGTTTACACACCAGGCACTCATTTCAGGCCGAGACAATCTATGCGGAGGCGCAGTATCGGTTCAGATATTAGCCAGTGTTGTCCGTCGTGAGTGGGAATTCAACTCGGGTTGCCGGGTTCACGGCGCAGCGCGCTAATCGCTGCGCCACCTATCCCCACACTGGACCCCCCTCCCCCTAGGTCGACTCGGCCTCAACCGAGTACTCGGCGCGGTGTGTAAACATCGCCACGAGGGAGACAAAGGAGGCCGCACGTGGTTCTGGTCACCCACCCCGTCGTGTGCCGTTCCGGCCTTCATTAGTTGCTCACTAACAGCACTTGCCCCAAGAGTCTGTGTAGGCTATATATGTGGGGGGGATCTTTGTCCACACACACACACGTGCACACGTACACACACACACGGGCAAGGGTAAGCTTTCAACCTGAGTGTCACAGCCACACTTAACAATTGTGCAAAAGCGTGAGTCTAACCCTCGGCGTGAAAACCTCAGTCGCGACGGCCAACTACACTTCAAGTATGTTCCTAGTATCGATCTCCAAAAAAAGGAAAAAAAAACACGAAATGACGTCACCAATAAACAACACTAAATCGCTTGCACGACATTTACATCAAATAGCATCGATCAATTATTAATAATTATGGGGGGGGTTTAGACGTAATTAAAAAAGTTTAAGCTCGGCAATAAATTAACGCGGAGGTGATGCAGCCGTACGAGGTTGTGCAGGAGATAGGAGGATAGTTTTCGTCTATTTACAAAACAAAAAAAGTAAAAAGAGCTTGCGGAAGAAAAGACAACATGGGTCCTTTCTTGCCAGATGTAAAGTATAAGAATAGGAAATAAGAGGTGTTACGATGTTCAAATAGCAAACAAACCCTTTTGCAAGGAATCGCATCCTTGCAAAAGGACATGAAACAGAAACAATAATAGAGAAAATACATTCACACGACGTGAAGCTGAATACGACCGACAGGTGAAAACAACAAACTAAATATATATAACGAACACTAAGCAATGTAATGAGATGTGCCTTCACGGAGAGGGAATGTTTACATTTTTTTTTTTCTCCAAAATGTTGTTTGCGCTTGAAGTTTTTAAATTTTGTTTTTGTTGAACTCGTGCCGAGTCGCATTGACGCGCCCGTGCCGAGCGTTCTGGGGCCTCTGCGAGAGACTGCGTTGATGAACGTATTAATTAGACTAGCGACAGAGTGCCCACAGGTGCACGTAAATTGGAGGGGAGAGAGGGGGGTGACCCCAGAGGCTGGGCAAAGGGGGGCATAGGAGAGACGGCGACTCGCGCCGTGGAAAATGAAAAACAAAACTCGATCTCAAGAATAAGCGAATCAAACGCCACCTCACTCATTTAGCCGGCGTACGAATAATGAAAACGATTCTGCGTTAAGGTTCCAATACTTGTTGACTTTTAAATTCGAATCGTTCTCGTGTACAGACACCACTTTCGGAATATTTTTCGCGTTTACAAAAAAAACAATATTTATGAGAATCCTAATATCAAAAAAAGATATAAATTAGACACTCTGTGGCGCTACATACTTGGACTGCCGACTACTCAAGATTTACGTGGCTTTTCTTAAAGGGGGAATGAAAGATAATGAATTTTTTTTTTACATCAAACATGAACTCATGTTGGCAGTCCCAGGGCTGCCCGCACTGTAGCCAGGCCCCGGATTGAAGTTGCTCGCGGGTTCGCATGCGTGTACCACACACGTACGTGCACCTACCACCCGTGCGTACGCACTCCCACCGTCTAAGCTATGCACCTTTTTGTACACTGCCTACGCGCGCTCCGTACATATGTGCTCGATTACGAATTTGCCGACTTTTAACTGGAGCGAATTTCTCTTGAGGATTTACGGTCTGTACATATTTATAGCCCGTCCTTGCTCCTATGAAATAATGAAATTGGCGTGGGTTTTGAGAGAGAGAGAGCGAAAAAAACGTTGTTTTATCTGGAACCAATCCAGCATGCAAAAAGCCTTGCACGCTGCGCACGCACGGCATGGCGCACGCACATCGAGTACGCGACCGCCCGCTCGGATTGCGTCGCGATGTGCGGGGCTGCTGCTGCCTCGGGCTTCCGTGCTCGCAACGAGGCGAGCAGCGCGACCTGACGGCGCCGAATCGCCGTCGTGGGTTCCCCACCGCCTCCCAACCTCCCGCCTCCAACCACTCCACCACGGTCGCGTCATAATGTGTCGCGCACTCTCTCCCCCCCACTCTCCTTCTCTCTCACCTCCTCGAGACGGCCAGCGAGAGAGAGAAGAGAGGAGAGAGTGGGCGAGTCCAAGCGCCTCGCAATAACACCGACAAATAAATTAAAACCACACCTCGCTGTGTACACGCGCGCGCGTGGCAGCACGGGGTTACGTGGAACGGCGGTGCAACAGACATCACGTTGCTTGCCACCATTTCAACCTCCCCCCTCCCACCACCATCACCTTCCCCCGCCCCCCCCCCCCCCCCCCGAGAAAGCATTGCCTACTATCACTTGCACCGATACGCCACGCACTCTGAGCGTCCTACGCAAGGTATGAGGAGTAGGTAGGGTAACGTCGTCGTTGTTGTTGTTGTTTAGGTAGTTACTTGCCATCACGCACAGGCGCAGCGAGACGTCAACGACATCGTCGAGCGCGGCCGCGAACGACGTGGCCCGTGGACGATTGCACGAAGCCGGACCCCCCCCCCGCACCACCCCTGGAACCGAGCGAGCGAAGCCACGGAACGAGGAATCCCTGCCGCCAGCGCCGTCAACAACGCAGCTCTTTGTTGTTGTGTCGATTGTGGTGGTGGTTGTTGTTTTTATGGCATTATGGAGCACGAGGAGCGCCGTTTCCGAAATCCCTGATGCGGTAATTGTTGATTTTTTTAGACAACAACTACAACAACGAAAATTTGGCGGTGGAAATTATTGCGTTATTGTCTAAAAGCGCGGTGGTGGTGGCGTTGGTGATGAGGCGGTGGTGGTGGCGGCGGTTATGGTGGCGGCGGTGGTGATGATGGCAATCGCTCGGCCCGGCCAGGTCGTCACGGACCCTCGCTCCCCGTGTAACAATCGAGAGGTGGTCACCCCAACCCCCGCCCCTCCTCTTAATAAAATACCTGTCCAAATGGAACATGTGCTCGCGTTTCAAGTTTTACACAGAAAATAATAACAATAGTAGTAGTCGCGATTCGCCGGACGTCTACGATGTGTGTGTGTATATAATTCTACATGCAATATTGCTGACTATACGTACACACGTACAGACCCACGCGCGAGCACACACACACACGTGGTCAAGTCCGTAGCCAACTCGACGAAAACGTCACGAAATAAATTGCTGTGCTCGCGGCCAATTTGTAGCGGATTTGTTGTTGTTGCTGTTTTTTTTTCCATCACATTTGTTTTTAGACAGAGCGAGGCGAGGGTGCCTCTTCCTGCCCCGACCAAACGAGGAACCGCGTTGTTCCGAGCGCTCGGCTCACGCAGCAAGACGTCCCCCGCACTTCCCCGCTGCAGTGTTGTCAGCGCCGAGAACAATACCGGGGGGAGGGAGGGAGGGGTGCTTGGTGGGGGTGGATATTGTCATTTTTTGTGGTCTTGTGCCGGGGTTACCCCCAACCCAGCCCCCCTCGCAATGCGGGGCGAGAGTGCGGTAGTATGGCCGGCGGTGGTGGAGGGAGGCGAGTTGGGGGGGGGGGGGTTAAGAAAGGTGGGGTGGTGGGGGGGGTAGAGAACGAGACGTCAGCCCTGATCCTCGCTCTTCTCTTTCTTCATCTTTTTCAGCTTCATGCGCCGGTTCTGGAACCAGATTTTGACTTGCCTCTCGGTGAGGTTGAGACCGCGCGCCACCTCGTAGCGCCGGTCCCGCGTCAGGTACATGTTGAAGAGGAACTCCTTCTCCAGCTCCAGCGTCTGCTGCTTGGAGTAGGGGCAGCGCTTCTTGCGCCCAGCGCGCGCGTGCAGCCAGTTCACCGAGGGGTCGCCTGCCGTGGGGGGGGGGGGGGGTGCGAGTGGGGGGGGGGGGGTGGTGGTGGGGGTGATGGTCCCCGCAGGGTCGAGTGCGCGACGGCGGATACCACGGCCGGCCGAGGTCGGGAACGGAAGGGGAGGCCGGCAGGGCGCGGACGAGCAGGAGGGCGGGCGGGCGGGTGGGCAGTCGGGCAGGCCGGCGGACGCCGGGGCGGGCGGGCGGGGCACAGGGTTGAATATGGTAAAGAGGGGGCGGGGTAGACAGTCGGGAGAGGGATACACCGCACGCATGTAGAATGTGCAACCACGCGCGCACGCGTACGCGACACGCGAAGCGCGTTCACGCGGCGCCGGGTCAGAGCTCGCGATTCGCGGGTCCCCCCCCCCCACCACCCCCCCCCTCCACCCCTACCCCCCCCCCCTTATCGGAGAGCTTCGCCTCATATTGAGCGGGCCCACGGGGAGAGCGCAGCGGGGATGACGCGCGGCACGATGCATCAGCGCTCAGCCAAGGGCGCGTCCGGCACACACACGGGCGTCCTTTCACGACTCGCGCCGTGATCCGCCCTCTCATCTCTCCCCGCGTCTCTAGATCTCCCCGTGTGTCCTCACTCTCTGTATTCTCCCCCCCCTCCCTCCCTCCCTCCCCGTCTCTTATGTCTCACTGTCACTCCGCTTCCCTTTCTCCGTCTCACATTTTGAAGAGAAAGGGCCTTTTCCTCTATCTCTCTCTATCTCCCGTCGTTGCGTATCCCTGTGTCAGTGATTCCGTTTGTGTCTCCGTCCCGGTATATATTCGCAACATATTTATATTTCTATGTCTACAGTCCACAGTTGTGTTAGTCTCCCTCTCTCTCTCTCTCTCCCCCTCCCTCTCCCCACTCTCTTTCCGGAACATGTGCCCTGCAGCCGCTGCTTAAACTAATTAGTGATTACATTACACCCACAGGGCAAGAGCACGCAGAATTTGGCTCGAAGGTTTATGCCCAAGAAGGTGATTAGCATAAAATTAATGGGGGGGGGGGGGGGTGGGATTCTACACATGGCTGCCCCCCTGCCCGGACACACCGCGATGCGGCTCAAAGCCACGGGACTCCTGCACTAGTCAGACGCAGCAGCGGCATCGGCAGCATCATCAGCAGCACTCCCAAGTGGCACACGAGACGCACGGTGCTGCTGCCGCTGCGTGATGGTCGTAGCAGTGTGGCGACGAGGGCGAATTTGGCGTTTTAAAGAGCCGCGCCGCTTGGTGGTTGAACGCGAAAAATGTGAATGGAGGCCATAAAGGAAAAGGAGACGGGAGTTTTTGCCTCGCGGGGGTGGTGGTGGTGGGGGGGTATTGCGGCAAAAGGGAGGGAAAGGACCGCGCGCGTAGCTCCCTCCTCTCCGCAACTCCGTTCGGACGCAAACGCCAAAAAAACCACCCACCCCCTCCACACACAATCACGGCGACGCGAGACAAAGAGCGCACACCGAAGCGAACAAAAGGTAACGTTGCGCCACAACTCACTTGCTTCCAATTGACGTTTCTCTTCCGCACTGGAGTCGAGTGGTCCCAGTTTCGTGTCGGTGCACGGGTCCCCTCCGACGCCCCTTCCGTCGAGCGGCGCCTCGGGAGCGAAGCCGCGGTACAGGATGGGCTCCGCGTCAAACCTGCCCAGGCCGGGCCCCTCGCCGCCCATCGGGGCCACGTCGCACTGCCTGCCCGCCAGGGGGAAGGCCGCGTGCGAGCCACCCACCCCGACCCCAACGCCGGCGAGCGACTCGAGCCACGAGCGCGCGTACGCGCTCTCGGGCGCTACCGCCGTCGGCGACGCGTAAACGTTGAGCTGCGTGTGCACGTGATGGTGCGGCCACGACGCCTGGTACATGGCGGGCTTGGGCTGGAAGCTGCACGCGGGGTACTCCGCGCTCAGCCCCGCCGCGGGCTTGGGCAGCTGGAAGGGGGCGCCGGCGTCGTGAAGCGGCGCCATCAGCTCCTCGCCGTCGTGCCTCACCAGGGAGTCCACGAAGTAGCGGCCCTGGCTTCCCTTTGACGCGGACATCATGACAGCCGAGCTGCCCAGCGCGGCGCGGCTGCTGCTGCTGCTCCTCTTGCTGCTGCTGCTCCTCTTGCTGCTACCGCCGCTGCCGCCGCTGCTGCTGCGCGTGCGACTGCTGTTGCTGCTACTGTTGCTGCTACTGTTGCGGGCGCGCGCGCGACCCAATAGCGGCCGTGCGACTGCATCGGCGGCGGCGGCGCTCCTCCCCGCCAACACCGGGCCGCGTGTTTTGAAGGCGCCGCGCGCTCCCATTGGTCGCGGGCGACACACGTGTGAGAGCCTCCACCATCAGAGGGGATGCGCATGCGAAATCAGCTGCGCGAGCCCCCAAAAACGCGAGGGGAGGGGGGAGCTTGCGGCTCCAACCCCCCCCCCCCCCCCCCGCGTGCGTCCGCGTGCTGTGTGTTGTGTGCGGCTAGGAAACCCGCCGAGACGAGTTCGATTCCCGCTTACGAACAATAACGGTGGCGAATGTCCGAACCGGTTCTGGACCTCCCCCCTCCTCCTAGGTCGACTCATCCTTGGATGAGTGCCTGGTGCGGTGCGTAAAACAAAGCCTCTCTCGGGAGACAAAGGCGGCCGAGCGTGGTCCTGGCCACCCACGTCCTCGTGTGCCGTTCGGGCCTTAATTTGGTGCTCGCTAACAGCAACTTGCCCCAAAATGTCTGGTCGGCCTTTACGGGGCACCTTTGTCTTTGTGCGTTGCGTGGACGTTTGCGCGCCTGTGTGTGCGCGCGCGTGTTGTGCACACGACATTTGCATACGGGCCAGAGCGACCACGTTATTATATACGTCCGCGCACAAATCACGGTGTGGAATACATTAAAACGCTACGCCTGTGTCAGTGTGCCACCTAATTATGAATCCATACGGTCCGCAAGAGGTGAGGAAGGGGGGGGGGGTGTCAAGACGTCTCGAGGAGGATGAAACAAAAACACCGGTGTTGACGGTGGCCATGATTTCATTGCGATTTTAAACAAAATTACGCGTGTATATTTTAAAATAACCGATGAAGATAACGACCACAATGATGATGATACGAGCTCACGAATCAAAGATGTGATGTACAGAGAAAGCAATCATTTGGAGGCTGCGATGCAGCAGCAGCAACGACAACAACAATCAACGCAATGATCACGACTCGTGCACAGAACTCGCTCGTTCATGTCGAGCGGGCCGAAACTTTGAGCCACCCCTCGTGGATACGCATTGCGAATGGTCAATATATAGGAAAACGCGATTGCTTTATCCATACCCGCCCACAAATTAACCCCGAACACCGCAGCGCTCTGCTTAAGATCCCGCGGAAAAGGCGGAGGGGGGGGGGGCAGGGAAGGGGGGGCAGCAGAGGCTGAGAGAGAGAGAACGACTGAAGGAGGGGAAGAAGGGAAGGAGAAACTGACGCGGCTGGACTCCGTGACGGGACCCCAGAGAGCAGGGAATCTTGGATGACGTCCGAACAACCGCGAGTGTCACCGCGACGACCTCGCTCATGCTCTATGAATATCCCTCTCCTCTGTCTCTCTCTCCTATATATACTGTATTCCCACACGCACACATATATATACCCACACCACTCGCACCACTCACGGTGCGTACACGACCGGGAATGTCCCCCCCTCCCCATCATCATGACTCGAATGGACCCGCGTTCTCACAAAACTCGCTCTCCTCTTTCGCTCCCTCCCTCGCTCGCTCTCTCTATCTGCTCGACATTTGGAGCGGCACTCGGCGTTACCGGGGCAGGGACTGGGATGGCCCGGACAAATAAACCCGCGCGACTACTCGCGCGTGAGTCGGGCGCACGCGCTCACACGAGACGTGGGGGGCAGTGGTTGCGGGCAGCCCCAAGTAGCCACGGCGAGTCCACGACAAATTCACGCGAGTGTGGAAGCACCGGATCGACAAACCGTTACCTCGCCATTGTCACTGGGGCATGACGGCGCATAATACAATTACGAAACGTGCGGAAATGTGTTACACGGGAGAGTTATCTTTTACACGCACACACACAATTGCTACATGCGATGCAGTTGTGTGTATGTGTGTATAGGTAGTGCGACGGTTAGCGCGCTGCGCTACGAACCCGGCGTCCAGAGCATTCACGGCCAACATCAACGGCGATAATCACAACCGGTCCTGGGTCTCCTCTAGGTCAACTCGGCCTTAAATGTGTACCTGGTTCGGTGTGTGTGTAAACATCGCCACTCGAGTGACAAAGAGGGCCAGGCGTGGTGCTGGCCAACCATCCCATCGGCGCTGATAGGTGCTCGCTAACAGCACTTGCCCCAACAGTTTGTTAATTCTATACGGGGGGGGGTCGGATCTTACGCTTTACATCTGACTAGTCCCAGGTCTTGTTTCTCATATATATTTTAAATACATCAGTTTTTTTATTGAAAGAAACCGTTAAAGTTTGGCCTGAAACAATCTCGCGTTCTCCAAGGGCGAATGCGTTCGTCCACGGTTACTCGCTCGCTCGCTCACAAATTGTTTTCAGCCGATTCCTTTCAACTCCGTAAAAAGTTAACTGCGTGGGGTTGATGCCGTCACGTCATACGAAAAACCGTCACGAACAAACAATAATAATAAACGATACATTTATACAAAAAAAATACGTTACATATTTAAGAGATACAATTATTAATTGGACAAAAACCTGAAATAATTGTTTACGCACTAAAGCTCCGATCATCACGATTCTCACAACTATTACATTTTGTGGTTCCGTATCATCATCAGAATACGTGCCCAACACACCGTGACACGACAGTGCAAAGTTACACCGAACCTAAATACTGCACAACGCTGCAGTGTCACAATTGCACACAACACACGCGCGGGGTGGGATAGACTCAAGAAAACCCGTCTCAGAAATTCGCCGACTTGCAATCACCACAATGTTTTCCAAACCCAATTATTGTGAACACAAGCCCTCCTCCTGGGCCATCTATGGATTTGCTAACACATGAAAGGTGCTTCTCACCGTTTTAAAATGATGTTATATTAAAAAAAGTGTCACGACACGCCTGTAAGGAATGTACTTTGAATTAGATTTTTAATATGAACGTAACAACGGTTGTGGGTGGCACAACCTTTTTTTAAAAAATATTTTTTACGCCCCCCTTTCTCACCACCCCGCTCATCAGCTCAACAACCTCCGCTCAGCTACCGCCCCCCCCCCCCCCCCCAGCCCGGCCATGCCCCTGCCTCTCGCTCCGCACTCCGCGCCTCCCTCTGCCAGTGGTCGCTGCGGCTGCCAAACTCCGTCGCGGCTTCCAGGGGGAGCTTCCTCCGCCACCGCCACCTCAGGGCAACGGGACGCGGCCATTTTGCGCTCGAGCGGGGGCCCTGGGCTCTTCCCTCCCCTCCACCTTCCCCTTCCCTTCCACTCCGCCCGCCAGCCCGCCCATCCAAGACTCCCCCACCACCACCACCACACCCTCACTACCCTCAGGCCCGGAAAGAGAAGTCCTCTCCGCAATAAAATCCATAAACAGGCCCGCTCTGCCCACACACACAGAGGTGTACGTGGTCACTCGCAGTGATAATGCGCACGTGTAGATTTGGTGTACACATGGCACATGCGCGCCTGCTAATGTCAAATCAGTTGCCTGCGAATGTCAGGTTTAGATGCAATCTCCCGTTCATCGCGAACACGAATTTCGTTTAACATACAAAGACAAAGACCCCCCCCCTATAGCCTTGGGGGCAAGTGCTGTTAGCGAATAGCACCTAATGAAGGGTCGGCACACGGCACACGAGGGGGAGTGTGGAGTGGCCAGTACTGCGCCCGCTCACCAATATATGTGTGCTTTTAACATACACACACGCACACATACACACAACAACAACCACTACACGCATTAATTAATGAAGGTGAGCGGTACAGTATTACACGACACGACAGCACGTGTTCGGGCGTCATAAGCCGTTACGCGCATTTTCAGAGTCAAATGTCGTCATGAAGGCATTTGGACCCGAAATGGCGAACTGGCCGTGGTGTCGTCTCACGAGAACACGTCGTCGTCGTTGTTGTTGTCGTCGTTATTTAACGATGCTGTCTGGGCGCATGGCCGGCTACTGACAGACAGCTGACAGACACCGTCACACTCGTCCATCCGTGCCGATGAGTGAACGATGTTGTCACCGGAGCGCGCGATGCCTTGTGGCGTTTTTTTAAACGAAATATAATCGCGCGCGTGTGTACGGTTAAGCACGTGTCCTGTGTTGACGTTGCTGTTATATCACCCATGGTTTTTTTTTTGAAGATTTGCTGGTTTATCCCAGGATGTTTCTGTTGCGCGTCGTCGCTTTAAGATGTTCTCTGTTCATATTTTATTTGTTGCGGTTGCAGGGCTATACCTAATAAATGAAAACTTGAAACTTTAACCCATGTAATTACAATAGGGCGGCTGAATTTGTATTATTATGAGATGTTATTATGAGATGTAGCTTTAAAACGTTTACAGCCGGGAGATTAACCTGAACTCTAAATTTCCGCGTGTCAATTATAACAACGAAGGGGACAAACAAAACACCCATTAAGCAAAATGAGAAAACTGGCCGGAGGTAAAACTCGTTCCATCACGATTATTGAAGCTCATTGAGGAGCTCTTACTAGATAGTTAAAAAGAAAATAACGTACTGTTTTGTGTATATATATGCTTATATCCGAATTAATCGGAACGGCGATGCATCATCCATTGTTAAATTATCTCGTAAATACGCATCGCGATTTTTGTTGTCATTAAAAATATATGTAAGCGGAAGCACCGTTCGTTTTTTTTTGTAAGTCTATCTGCCTATTAGCTATGTCGACCAATTATATAAATAAAACTTTGGTTAGGCGAGCAAACACTTTGGGCCGGGTTCAACCTTCTGGGTCTCATCGGCAGAGTCATCAGGCTTGTTAAAAGGAACGCTGTCCAATTTGCCAGATGTTATTTGGCACTCGGTATAAATTACAGGGAACTCCGCTTCATTGTAAAAGGGGGGGGGGGGGGGGGACGATGGCTAAACTATTAAAACAAAAGTTGATAATATATTTCGTATATCCACATATACGTACATTTTAAATTATACCTATGTTCATAGTTTATTTTAGGATTAGGGTCTGTCGGTTCGGTGCAATTTTTTTTTGCTATAATCCTACACACAACGCGACAGTCAATATTAAATAAAATCGTCACGTGGGCAAACATAGCGATTGATTTTGGTTTGATTGGCCCTGTCGGGTATGTTAAAAAAAACATATCATTATAGCATTACACCTAGAAGAAGATTGACCCGAAAATGAACTAATTATGAATCTTAATTTTGGTCCTGAAAGCAGGAATGTGCACTCATATACTTTATTTATTTTTAGTGACTTG